GTACAAGGGACTTAGTCCCACCCCACTAGCAATAAAACAAATGGCGATCGAATAACAAACAGAAGATTTTATGTGAGTTGTTGTAATAGTGATCCACAGAATGTGTAAGTCTCAGTGACTGTTAAAGTGATTGGCAGATACGAGTTGTAAGCAGGAGTTGGGATAGCTCAGTTGGTATAGTGACTGGCTATGGACTGGACGACCAAGGGGTCAGAGTTCGACTTCTGATTGGGGCAAGAATTTTCTCTTCTCCAAGTCATCCAGACTGGCTCCGGGATCCACCCAACATCCCATCCAATGGGCACTGGGGGGCTCTTTCCCCTGGGGTAAATCAGCAGGGAGCGTGAAGCTGACCACTCACCTCCAGCTAGTGCTGAGGTCAAGAAAATGTGGATCTATACATCCAATCCCCCATATGCCTTTATGGCACAGTCCTTAATTAGGTAAGTGCAGCAACAACTTTGCCTTTACCTTTTATGAGTTCTAAGTGCTCAGTAAACACAATTATTAATCCAACCCCAGTGTCTAGTCACTAACATGTGACAATACTTTACTTCTATGCTATAATTTCACAAAAAGTTACACACCTTTTCAGTAAAATCAAATGACTGAGCCATGTCTAAATGTGAACTGCAGATACATAGCAAAACATCGCTGAGCAAGCTATATATAGCTGATGACTTTCGTTTTCTTCTTCTGAATGATTCTTCTCCTTCTGTTTCAGCTTCATTAATTTCAGCTATAGGTACTCCCTTATCAAGAAAACAAGCTTCAACAAAACCTGTTAAAACATTATTACACACAAATAAGAACAGGACAAAGGAATGTTAAAAACAGTTATAATCAAAATACTAACTAGACTGTAGTTCTTTGGTGTGGACTGTGTTATACATTTACTTACTCATGGAGCTGAGCCCTTCTGGAGGGCTTGGGTTGTAGAAAAGAAGTCCATCGCTTAAAATCCAAATATGAACTACATTTCCCTTTCACTAATATATAATTTATCTTGTTTTATTTTGAAAAGAAAAGGTGACTGCTCTTTGGAACCAGAAATAGAATCACTAAGATTCATGGATTTATGCAAACAGTATTTTTCTTCCCAAGATTAGACTCACAGTCACTCTAATTCTGAACAGTTCTATATTCTGGAATGTGATGCCATGCAGTCTAATCATTTGTATACAAATTCCTCAGATTTCGCTGAAATGGATGTGAAGTGCAGTACTGGAATAAGGTATCAGTTGACATTAGGTTTTAATCCACTACATTTCATGAATAAGCAACTGGAAATCAGGTTGTTTCCATAATATTTGAAATCGGTTTAATGTTATAACACTAGGCTTGCCAATCAGCATACAGATGATAATCTGTCTACACAGAAAATCCTAATGATTTATGAGATTATGGTAACACAGTGTGCTGACAGGCACCATATGCATCAGTTGCTGGCAGTACTAATTCTGCAAGCGGTCACTCTGTGAAAAATGTTTATTTAGAAGAACTTCTTCAAACTTCATGTTGCATTTTTCCAGTATCTGAGGTTATGGCTGGACTGTGAGCATGCAGGACCACTAGTAATACATATTCTTGTACTCAGCCTCAAATTATATTACCTTCCGTTAATGGTCCATGAACAACCAAAAATAATTTGATCCTAGATGACATAAGTTGAGTGGGTGAAGGTGACACTTCAAGTTTTCTGGAAAATAACATTAACCCAATAAGCTCAAAATCCAACTGCTGTAAACGTTTAATATTGTACTTAATAACATCCTTAACTTTTAATTTATTTTACTTTTTCCCCTACTGGCAGCACAGATAAACGGGGTACTTTAATAATAACAATATAGTCATGATAATCACAAAAGTAGCACATTCTAGGCTTGATTTTGGTAGTAAAACAGGGTTAGACGTGTTCTCTAAAGTTACAGGAAAGCAAATATCAGCAGGGATACCATGCATTTTACGAAGCATAAAATCGGTCAAAACATACATTACTTCCATTTTCAAAAGCCAGTTAGGTACAGGTAAGTGACCATGTCAAGAATCATCATGAAAGCCAAAGCAAGGGATTCCTGTAGGGAAATTTTTAGTAAACTTGGAATTTTAACTCTTTACTCCCAATATATCTTTTCAACTCTTATGTTTGTTGTAAAGCATAAGGATTTTTTTTTTCACAATAAATATTGCCTTGCATAAAATAAATACCCGCCAAAAATTGCACTTTCATGTTCCTTTAGTAAGTCTAAAGTTCAAAAAGGAGTATATTATTCTGGTATTACCTTATTCAACTCTCTACCCCCCAATATCAAGCAAGGTGCACGTGATATTAATAAATTGAGAAAGTTTCTTATAGAAAACTCTCTTTATTCAGTTGAAGAGTATCTTGATAGGAATAATAAATTTGACCTTGGGGTATCTCAATAATTATAGATTTGTATTTTAGTTGCATGCACTCGTTTCTTATATATATATTACTTTTTATTTATTTTATGTTTAGACAATCTTATGTAAATATCAGTGTAATCTGCTGACAATTTCTGTATCCAATGGTAATGTACCTGAATGGATCAATGAATGTTAATAAATACAATACAATGTAACAAGTCTACCTCCAGTTTCTAGTAGAATCTGAATGTACGTCATCTCCACTATCACATTCGTCTCCCCAGAAAGCTCGCGAAGACTGCTCTACAACTTCCCCGAAATATGTGGCCATTGTAATATTTCTTTAATTCTGCATATTAGACGTATACACAGCAAGTATACACCACCATTTTGAATTTGACCAATCTTGCCAACATGCAGACATACATTGTACGAAAGGTTCTTCTAAGTACTCAAAGTAAAAACATGCACTTAAGGAACTTTTAGAAACATATTTAATGCCATACATGACAAAAGTAACAAAAGAGTGAATTATTGCAATTATGTGTTTAAGACATGTTATTCTTCGCACTGAATTAAAATTTGTTAAGCTTCCATTCCTTGTCCACCAACATAGTTTATATAAATGTCGTTAGATGTCAGGTGTGAAGTCACCTGTGTTTTGATCGTTTTGATCAAGGGGCGGCAAATGGAATAGGGGAAAGGGAAACACGGTAACTACTGCCTCTAAGAGCGGCGGACGAAACCTCACGCAGGTCTCGACCAATCAGAGAGCCTAAACAAACCAACTTGAATACCCACAATTACGTGCGGTTATGGTGGTGCATTATATGCAAATTGATAAGTATGAATTTTGATTTGATGTGGTTGCGAACGAAATTACAGCTCCATGTCAAACATATTATTTGTGTATATGAATATTATGCTTACTACCACAAATGGAATTAGAAACATAGAATTCTTTCAAACCTAAAATTTTTGAGGTTATCATGAACTGTCATCTAAATGATATTTTTTAATGATATGTTCTGCAACTTTCACTTTATCCCAGAGATTGTCTGTTGAATGTGAAGGAGTTCTAAGAGTACCGTGATGGTGTTATAATTTTTGTATTGCTTCTTGCAGTATAAGCATGAAAACGACATTTTCTGCTGCTGGGTGCTTGTCATCCAGCAAACAAGGCATCAAATTCTTCAGCTTTCCAAGGGATCCACCAATGTATGTCTGTTTTAATTCATGGTGTAATTACTTTATTAAAAAAATGCCCCGGAGTAAGGAACGCACAATCATCAGGACTGCTAGGTATTGGAATGATGGGCCTAGAGTTCATGCATGCCTCAATTTGCGTGAGCAGTGTGGTCATTTGTTCGAATGACAAAAGTGTGTTACCAGCTACCTTCTTGAGGTGAGTCTTCACTGATTTGACACCCGCTTCCCACAGTCCGCCGAAGTGAGGGGAGTGGGGGGGATTAGATACCACTCCATCCCTTCTTGAGCTGCATATCTTGATATAGCCAAAAGATAATCCCTTGAGCCTAGCAGTCGAGACATCTCGTTCAGCCGTCACTTTGCTCCGGTGAAATATGTGCCGTTGTCACTGTACATCTGACCGTAGTGCCCACGTCTTGAAACGAACCTCCATAACGCAGCAATGAAGTCTTCAGTTGTCAAGTCGCTGGCCAGTTCAATATGTATGGCCTTAGTCGCCATGCACACAAACAGTGCTATATAGCATTTTTTCTGGGTTCTACTTCGGGGATTACCATATTTCATTTGCAAGGGCCTGGCATAGTCCACACCACAATGGGAGAATGGCTTGCTTGGTGTGATGCGAGATACAGGCAGCTGTCCCATTAGCTGCCTGGTGGCCTCGGCCTTCATTTTGAAACATGTAACACACTTTTGGATCACTTGTCTGACAACCGATCGGCCATTAGTTATCCAGAATCGCAGTCGCAGTGAAGCTAGAATAAGTTGGCTTCCAGCATGCAGCAATCGTATATGCTCATTCCAGATCAACAGTTTGGAGACATGATGTTTGGATGGTGGGATGAGGGGGTGTTTCTGATCAAAGGGTACATCGGCGTTCTCCAGTCTACTGCCCACCCTCAACAGGTTGTTCCCATCCAGGAAGGGATGTAACATCAGAAGCTTGCTGTGGGAGGGTAAGGCTTTCCCTTGCTGCAAACTCTGGATCTCCTGAGCAAACGAGTGCTGTGTAATGCGAGCAATGACAATCAGCGACTTGTGATGCTCGTTAGATGTCATCGGTCTGTGCCGGCCTGATGCTGCACCTTGTTTCAGCTCGTAGAGGAAGCTGAGAACGTAGGCAAAGACTCTTTGTAATTTTGCACAACTGGAGAATCGCTCGAATAAGGATTCTATCTCTGAATAGACGGTGATGCAGCATAGTTTTACTCCTCGCCGTTCAGGAACCTTCTCGGGATCTGCTGGGGGCTGTGCTGGCCAGGAGGAGGGATCCTTGCTTAGCCAGGAAGGTCCCGCCCACCATAGCTGATTGCCTTGAAGTTGTCGTGGGTCCGTTCCTCTGGAGATGATGTCCGCAGGGTCGTCCTGTGATGCGACATGTCTCCAAGCTCGGTAAGTGGTTAGCTGTTGGATCTCTGCGACTCTGTTGGCCACATATATTTTCCAAGTTCATGAGCAACCAGCAATCCAGGCTAAAACAACTGTGGAGTCCGTCCAGTAAAAGCATTGAACAATTTGTAGGTTGAGGGCCTTATGCACCTTATCTACTAACTGGCTTAAAAGAAGGGCGGCGTTTAGCTCCACTCTTGGGAGCGACACCTGCTTCAATGGGGCCACTCTTGATTTCAAAGATAACAGATGAAGTATCATGGTTCCATTTGGGCTTACGGAACGTAGACAGACACAGTGAAGTTCTACAGTGATGCTTGTGCCGTCTGCTGTAATTCTTCTGGGTATACTAATCCTGTTGAGATCAGGCAGCCATTGGTGAATTTCCTCCCACCGCGTGGCAAGTTCTGAAGGCAATCTCGAGTCCCACTCCATCTGTCGTTGCCAAGGGTTTGAATGAATAACTTACATTGCACGATGACAGGTCCTAGTAATCCCAATGGGTCGTATATGGACGCTACATTAGCCAGCACCATTCTCTTCGTCCATGTCACATTCTTGTGCCTGCTGTCCACCATGCTGAATTGGAACAAGTCACTACTGGGATACCAGTGCAGTCCAAGAGTCTTCACTGCACCCTCATAAAGAGGAAGATTGCAAGGTCCCTGTGTCTCCTGAAGTGCGGCTGGAATGGCCTCCAAAATGTCTAGACTGTTGGATCGCCACTTCCGAACAGGGAACCCTCCACTCTTGAGCAATGATGTGACGTCGTCATAGAGCTGGATAGCTTCACTAACAGTGTCGGTTCCTGTGAGCAGGACGACGACATAGAAGTCATATCTTACAGTTTTAAAAAGCAAGAGAATGCCATTTTTGACAAGTATCAAACAGCTTTTCAATAGGTAAAAAGAGAGATTACACACGAAATTGTGTTAGAAATAGCAAAACATTGAATTTCCTGCAGCCTGCTAATTTATGTCTGCGTGAGACTTCTTGTCTTCTGGTCTGTTCGAAAATTGTCTTCACAAAAAATATTTCTACTAAAATTTTAATATTGATTTTAATATCAATTAGGTCTAAAAGTTGAGGGGCCGCATGTTTGACACGGCGGATGTAGAAGAATAAATTTGGATAGTCGCGGATGGCCTCGGCCGGAGGTCCGAAAATGAAAACAACCTACCCCTTCGACGGTTAGGAAATTAAGAGGGTTAAGAGCGTTAAGCCCTTTAGCTCCACTGCGTAAGCCACTAAGCCGGCTCGGCAAATAAGGAGTGCGGGGGTTGGACAGTAGAGGGTAGAAGTGCACACACAGACGACGGACTTGAGCCGACATCACAGGTGAACACATCAATAGGCAGATACCGGTATAGAGAAATGGCGATAAACATGCCTGTACTTAAGAAATCTGAGATCCAATTGACCCGTTGTCTTGTATGGGCGTAGAACTATTCCTAGAGCCCTTTAGGAAGAACACAGACTGAAAGTGTTCGATAAGTTAATACCCAAGATAATATCTGAACTCAAGAGAGAGAAACCAACAGGATAATGGGGAAAAGTACACATTGATGAACTTTATAATTAGTATAATCTTCAGTAAATATTATTAGGGTTGTTACGGCACACAACCAGAGTGATCATAAACTTAAGAGATAAAAGACAGCAGTCAATATACTGAATGTCCGACTGTGATACCAGTAATTATCTGGTAGATACAAAAGTTAGGTAGAGACCGTCGGTAAACTATATAAACGAGAACACAAGGAGATACTAAATCTCGAGATATTAAAGGAGGTGGAATAAAAAAAAGTCCGAGTTGAAAACCTTAAAGAGCCTTTGGTCTTTGGAAAACATAGATGATGATGTGCGTACCAACAGGACTTGTGAAAACATTAGAATTAATATAAAGTTTCAGCGAAAGAAAGTTTAGGTTATTAAGAACCGATGTAGCACAGGCCATGGTTAGACAAAGGATGTTAAAAACTTTATATTCCAAGGAAACAAGCAAAGTTCCAATAGTTAGAGGACCCAAGCCAATTAAATGGAGATAACCCGAACAGGGTAAAATATGACGCTAGTAGATATTTCTGGAAAAGAAACGAAAGCGAATATCTCAGACACAAAATTAAACAGCTTGAACAAACAGTTAAAGGAAGAAAGTTAGGGATACGTATAAAGACAGAGAGAGATTCAGGGATGCTTATCAACCTAACACTACTATGGTAGAGGATGAGGAGGGTGGTCTGCTTCCAAATTACCACAAAGTTTGGAACAGGTGGAACAACTATTTGTGTTAAATGTCAAGCAGAATGGTACCAGCGCCTCAGAGTGTAATTTTTTTCGTTATCCTGTTATTTAACAATTTCCGGTCAAATATTTTCTTCCACATTCTTATACAAAACTGTAATATTGCCCGTGGTTCTGTATAGGCATGAAAGTTGGTCTCTGATATTAACGGAGGAACATAGACTGAGAGTGTTTGAGAACAGGGTACTGAGGAGTATATTTTGATTGAAGAAAGATGAAGTGACAGGAGGTCGGAGAAAACTGCATAAAGACGAGCTTCATAACTTGTACTCTTCACCAAGCACAATTAGAATGATGATGGTAAGGAGATGAGATGAGCATGGCATGTAGCACGAATGGGGGATTAGAGGAATACATATAGGATATTGGTGGGAAAGCCGGACAGAGATAACTAGGAAGACTAAGACACAGGTGGGTGGACAATATTAAAACGGATCTTAGATAGCTAGGATGGTGTGGTATGGAGGATGGGGCCAGTGGAGGGCTCTTGTGAAAACGATAATGAACATTCGGGTACTATAAAATGTTGGGAAGTTCTTGAGTAGCTGCACAATTGGCGGCTTCTCGAGAAGGGCTCAGCTCCATGGAGTTACTTAGCTGGTTAGTCTTTCTCCAGCACTTTCTATCTGTGTTCTTCCTAAAGAGTGACAGGCCTGGTTCCACACCCCTACAAGACAGGAGGCTACCTGGATATCCAAGTGTTACA